TGTCTAATAGAGTGGACAGTGAGTGGACAGTGTTTAAAAGCTCCAGCAGCACTGCTGTGTCTGATCCACTCGGACCAGCACAACACACACTAACACACCACCACCACACCAGTGTTACTGCAGTGCTGAGAATGGTCTACCACCCAAATAGTACCTGCTCTGTGAGGGTCCATGGGGGTCCTGACCACTGAAGAACAGGGTAAAAGGGGGCTAACAAAGTATCAGAGAAACAGATGGACTACAGTCTGTAACTGTAGAACTACAAAGTGCACCTATATAGTAAGTGGAGCTGATGAAATGGACAATGAGCGTAGAAACAAGGAGGTGGTCATAATGTTATGCCTTATCGGTGTATCATCATACATTTACTATTCTAAGCACGTTCAACAGACAACACCTTTCCTTATTTTTGACCGACAGTAGAAAGCAAATGTTTTAGCACCCCTGGTCAAGTGTTCTCTTGATTTCTAAGTGAAAATAAGTGAACACATCCTTTGCAGAGAACACACTTCTGCACATTTTAGTGCACAATAACTATCTGTTTGCTAAATTTAACATACTGGGGAGAAGGTTCAATAAAATGTGGCCTGTGCAAAAGTTATGGCCATGTTTTCTTTAGAACAGTTGAAAAACTCCACCTTTTCTACCCGCTTTCCTTGATTTTGACTGATCTGTATAGTGTTAAGATGTTTTATGCTGCTCTGTGTTCAGGAAATGATTGTATTCTTTTATATTAAAAATGTTTAAACAGTGGGTAGCGCTGTTGCCTCACAGCAAGAATGGCCTGGGTTCAATTCCCGGCTGGGCGACCAGGGTCATTTCTGTGTGGAGTTTGCCTGTTCTCCCCGTGTCTGAGTGGGTTTCCTCCGGGTACTCTAGTTTCCTCCCACAGTCCAAAAACATGCAGTTAAGCTAATTGGACATGCTAAATTGCCCCTAGGTGTGTGTGATTGTGTATGTCTGTCTGTCTGTCTGCCCTGCAATGGACTGGCGACCTGTCCAGGGTGTATCCTGCCTTCCGCCCAATGACAGCTGGGATAGGCTCCAGCGACCCAGAAGGATAAGCGGTTTAGATGATGTATGTATGTTTAAGCATTTATAAACTATGATTTTGCTCAGATGCTCCATATTAACCCATTCATTGCGTTTAAGAAACCCCAAAGACACTGCAGGTCCGCTTATTCCTCCATTCGACCGTTTTTACTACATATCCCATAATCCTTTGTATGACTAGAAAAACTGGCAGAAAAAACCAGCACTGACACAGTGGACAGTGGAGAGAGTGGCTTATGTACAAATACATGTTATTTTGGTTTAAAAGGTTTGGTATGATAGCCTTCTTAAAAGGCTTTTTTCTGTGTAAAAGATGCTAATGGCTAAGGCTAACAGCCAGCAGTGAGCTGTCGTATCTTAGCAACGACATGATGCATCGTTGCCTTTGAAGTGCATCTCAAACGCGATTCAGTTCTTCACTACAATTCAAAACAGCGGCCTTCAGTTTCAGACACAGCTTATATCCACAAACTCAGCCGGCGTGAAGCCCATCTCCATCCCAGCTTCACTTCCCAAAGACCCTCGGGCAGAGTTAGCAAGTTAGCACGCTTTCATTATCAGGCGAGGCCGGTTAACCGAAAAACAAGTCACGGATTTAATTCAGTTGTGTGCTTATTATATTCATAAATTTAAATGATTATGTTCACAAAAGTCAGGCGTGACACAGGCCCTTTAAGGTTCCTCCCAGAGTTGTTGATTGATGGCTGCGATAGGTATGATTTATGGAAACCAAGAGAAAATCAGGATGGGGATGTATGAGAAGACTCTAAGCTTAGCTCTGTCCATTTATATAGAAATTATAAGTAGCATTTCAGCCCCAACTCCTTTTTGAATAAGAAACAATGCAGGGCAGCCAATCAGAACAGAGCTCATCTACATACCACTGTCATCAGAAGAAAACCTTGTATCTCCATTTTTGACGTTTTTCAGTTTTTGACATAATTTGAAAATGCCTGTTGCTCTTTACATTGTATGTAAATTTCATGATGAATGGACTAAAAGCGTTTACCTAAAATGACTTGGAAAAAATTCTGGTTCCATTGACTTACATTAAAAGTAAAGTAGGTTTTTTCCTTCTCCTGTAAAGTTACCATTTTGGAGATACGAGGTTTTGCTTCGACAACAGCGATTCCTAAGGATAAAGAGATACTGGAAATGGTCACATAAAATGAAATAAGACTAGTTTTGTTACATCAATCCACACAAACGTCAGGGGTGTAAAAAAAAATAAAACATAAGAAAAATGTAGGATATGGACCCTTTAATTTACATGATACTTTGATACTAAGATACTTTGGCTTGAGTGGGTTTAGGTCGCTCCACCCACCTACAGTGTAAACACAGCACATAATTAATCAGGTCTTTCACGAAAACTTGACTGAAAGCCTGATTCGGAGCTGAGACTGAGGGCTTATTAGCGCACCAACTGGAACGTGAATAACCTGGAACGCTCTTGATGACTGACATCATAAAAGAGCCTCGATTCAACAGGCCAGTCGCCCAAAAAACGACTAAAAAACAGTGTGACATGTTAATGGACTCTCCTTGGGTCCTTTGCTGCCATCTTGAGGCGTCAGGCTGCACTTTCAGGCTGTGCGCCTACACCAGAGAACTTGTAGAGAGGAGAATTACCGGTTTTCTCAAACGCTAGAGGGCGCTCCCGAGCGAGTCCCAAATGAATAGGTTGGGTTGATATGGAGCGTTTGAGCAAAATCATAGTTTATAAATGCTTAAACATTTTTAATGTAAAAGAATTCAATCATTTCCTGAACACAGAGCAGCATAAAACATTTTAACACTGCTGTTATACTTTTAAGAGCTTTTAAACTCGAGTTATAGGAGTTTAAAACGGCGCCTCATGTATGTTTATGACATCTGTGAGCGCGAACAGCCAATGAGCTGCTCCGCTCGCCAACCAATCAGCACTCAGTAGCAGTAAAGCCCGCCTTCTGCCGCCCAAAACCCGTTTGTTGTAGAAAAAAAGGAAAAATTTAGGGAAGATTTCTTTGTTTTTTTAGTGAAATTCATCCTTTTACTTTCTAAAATTAAAGGAAAGTTCTGGTTCAGTGATTAGAAACTATTTTAACTTTTTTTTTTTAGCCTTTGAGCTCCATTCACTTCCATTCATTGAGGACTCACTCGCGGGCGCCCTCTGCTGTTTAGCAGTCCTGTTTTGAATATAACGGGGAAAATAGGAAGCGGCCAGGCTCCTCATAAACCGGCTCTGGAATTACCACTGTCTGCAATGTCTTCCAGTTTTCTCAAACGTTAGAGGGCGCTCCCAAGCGAGTCCAAAATGAACGGGTTGATATGGAGCGTTTGAACAAAATCATAGTTTATAAATGCTTAAACATTTTTAATGTATAAGAATGCAATAATTTCCTGAACAGAGAACAGAATAAAACATTTTAACACCGCTGTTATATTTTTAAGAGCTTTTAAACTCGAGTTATAGGAGTTTAAAACGGCACCAGAGCCGGTTTATGAGGAGTCTGGCCACTTCCTATTTCCCCCGTTATATCAAAAACAGGACTGCTAAACAGCAGAGGGCGCCCGCGAGCGAGTCCTAAATGAATGGGGGTAAATCGAGCTGAACGGCTAAAAACGAGAAGTTAAAATAGTTTCTAATGACTGAACCAGAACTTTCCTTTAATTTTAGACAGTAGAAGGATGAATTTTACTAAATAAACAAAGAAATCTCACCTGTGTGTTTCCTTTATTCTACAGCAAACGGGTTTTGGGCGGCAGAAGGCGGGCTTTACTGCTAGAGCGCGATGATTGATTGGCGAGCGGAGCAGCTCACTGGCTGTTCGCGCTCACTGACGTCATGAACGTACATGAGGCGCCGTTTTAAACTCCTATAACTCGAGTTTAAAAGCTCTTAAAAATCTAACAGCGGTGTTAAAATGTTTAATGCTGCTCTGTGTTCAGGAAATGAATGTATTCTTTTACATTAAAACATGTTTAAGCATTTCTAAAGTATGATTTTGCTCAAACGCTCCATATCAACCCATTAATTTTGGTCTCGCTCGGGAGCGCCCTCTAGCGTTTGAGAAAACTGGAAGACATTGACAGAGTGGTAATTCTTTTTTTTTGTTTGTTTGTTTTGTTTTGTTTTCCTTCCAACTGTTTATTATGTAATTACATTTGTACAGTATAAAGCAGAACAGATATAGTTAAGGCAGATAACAAATCGCATTAGAAAAATGGAAACAAATTTAAACAAACAAAAAAAAAACAAAGTTTAAACAAAAGAAATAAAATAAAATAAAAAATAAAGAAAGAAAGCCAGGGGAATGAACAGAGAGGGTAAAAGAAGTTGTGTATTGTTTAGCTTCTATTTCGAATTTGAGAAAATCTGGTTTGGAGTGAGTAAATTTGCATTTATGTATATGAAATTTTGCCAAAAGAATGATCAAATTAATATCATATTCTTTGACTTTATTATTTTTTATAATGACTGAAGCCAAACAACACATTATCCAAAGAGAGATTAAAATCAGGGTCGATACAATCCATCATAAATCTACACACATCCTTCCAGAGCTTTTTTCGTGTGGGAGCAGCGCCAGAACAGGTGTAGAAGAGTTTCTGGATTTACATCACAGAAAGAGCAGAGCAGCTGAGACTGATATCTTTTTAAATTTAGCAAGAAATTGGTAAACTGGACAGCATCTGTGTATGATTTTGTAAGAAACCTCCTTTATTTTATTGGTTAACAGATATTTAGAAGGTCAGGCCCAAATATATTTCCAATCAGGATTTTTTTTACAGAGCGGTGATTCTCCTCACTATAAGTTTTCTGGACTAATAAACAGTGTGACGTGTTTATGGACTCCCTTTGAGTCCTTTGCTGCCATCTTGAGGCGCGAGGCTGCAATTTCAGGCTTCACTCTCTCACGCTCTCGTTCTGCATGTACCGCTTGAGCCTCTTCGGTAGCCGTAGATTTACGGTAAAGCAAGACGTGTACGTAAGAGCTCTGTAGTGTTTTCCTGGCTGAACACGGGAGATGTTTTGAGATGTTTTGAATCGGCATTTGCGTTTTGTTTTCCGCGTTTATAAGCGTCACTAATGCATCCGAGAGAGAATGTCAGCGGATTTACTGTTAGACGTCGAGGCTCCGATGAGCCATATTTATACAGCGATGGAGAATAAGGAGCCGGAGGAAGAGATGTCGGACATCTCCATCGACCAGGACGGAGAGTGGGGTAAAAACAGCACTTTCTAGAAAAGTCTTGATACTAACCGGCCGATTCTGACCAAGTTTATCCTGTGTTTTGTTTCTGGATTCGTTACGTAGCTGACGTAAGTTAGACACACCAGCGGTGGGTAATCCAGGTCCAGAAAGTAAAAGCCCTCCTCAGGATTTTGTTCCAACCGCCTGAACACGTTCGCTGCTGGTTTGAGCGAAGAAGAGAGGACAGTCGGTTGGAGCAAAATCCCGGGGAGGATTTTTTACTTTCTGGACTGAACTTTATGAGACGTTTCGCCCCTCTTCTATCTGAACGTGTGAGGGGGCTTCATCAGTTTAAACGTGAAACATCTTCAACATTACACCACCAGTAGATAGACCAGACACCTTATCTCACTGCTGCTGAGCCGTTTGATTAGCAGGATGACAGAAAAGCCTCACATATGTGCGGGTTATGTTTGTTTTGGACACAGTGTTAGCTAGACAGCTTAGCTTAGCTACCGTTAGCTTAGTTAGCTACCGTTCAGGTTTATATGATTTAAGTCTCTTTTTTAAACTGTTTTATGGCTTGTATGAATTAACGAAGTAGTTTCGTTAACTTGTGGGAGCTCAAAATGGCATTACCTGTTACCTAAAGCAGACCTAACGTATTTCACGTGGGCTCTTGTTATGTAACAGTTCGTACTTACGCCCCCCAGCATCAGAATTACGTGTGAAATACGCAGAATAAGTTTCTCCTTTAGACGACATTTCTGACTATCTAGAACCATTTTTAAAAGGGTTTCATATAGAACCATATAGGTTACAACACATCCTCCAGTAATCTGAAGAAGCATGTAACCATGCGAAGAACCATAAGCGTGCAAATGGTTCTAGATATGTGTACATATCATTGGTATCACCCGCACTTAAAGAACACTGATTAGCTACATAATTCGGTGCAAAGTGAATATAATTAATTCTGTTTAACTGGATTTAGTGCAGTTTGTAAAACATTCAATAAAAATCATTGCAGTTGTACGTTTATCATTTTTATTATAGTGTTTTTGTAAGTGGCATTACAGGTTCTCTGTTGTATCGTAAATATGTCTTAAAGTATCATGATCTGCAACCTCATTTGCAAAAAAGTTGGGACGCTGTGCAAAATGTAAATAAAAATAAAATGCAATGATGTCCAAATCAGGCAAACCCTATATTTAATTGGAAATGGTACAAAGACAAAGTTGAAACTGTTGTATTTTAAAAAATATGTGCCCATTTTGAATTTGATGCCAACAACACGTTCCAAAAAAGTTGGGACGGGGGCCTGTTTACCACTGTGTTTCATCACCTCTTCTTTAAACGACACTCTGTAAGTGTTTGGGAACTGAGGAGACACTGCTGTAGTTAGAAAGTGAAATGTTTTCCTGTTCTTGTTTGATAAGGATTTCAGCTGCTCATCATTTCGGGGTCTCCTTTGTTATATTTTTCATTTCATAATGTGCCAGATGTTTTCAGTGGTGACAGGTCTGGACTGCAGACAGGTCAGTTTAGCACCTGGACTCTGTTAATACAGAGCCATGCTGCTGTAATACGTGCAGAATGTGGTTTGACATCGTCTTGCTGAAATAATCAAGGCCTTCCCTGAAAAAGACGTCATCTGGATGGCAGCATATGTTGCCAAAACATGTATATATGGTTCAGCATTAATGGTGCCTTCACAGATGTGCCCGTCACCCATGCCATGTGCACTAATGCTCCCCTATACCATCATGAATACTGGCTTTTGAGCTGTGCACTAATAACAAGCTGAGTGGTCTTTAGTCAGGAGGACACAGTGTCCATGATTTCCAAAAAGAATTTCAAACGTTGATTCATCAGACCACAGGACACTTTTCCACTTTGTCCCAGTCTTAAATGAGCTAATTTGTGGATGCAGTGATGAACTGTGTTTACAGACAGTGTTTTTCAGAAGTGTTTCTGAGCCCATGCAGTGATTTCCACTACAGAATCATGTCTGTTTTTAATGCAGTGCTGCCTGAGGGCCCAAAGATCACAACCAGCAAATACTGGTTTTTGGCCTCGTCCCTCACATACAGAGATTTCTCCAGATTCTCTGAATCTTTTAATGTTATTATGTACCGTAGATGATGAAAAGCAAAAGTTCTTTCCTATTTTATGTTGAGAAACGTTATTATTGAATTGTTGGACTATTTGATGGTGCAGTCTTTCACAGAGTGGTGAACCCCTCCTCATCTTTACTTCTCAAAGACTCCGCCTCTCTGAGATGCCTATTTTTATACGCAATCATGTTACTGACCTGTTACCAATTATCCACCAGTTGTTTTTTTTATTTTTTTAGCATTGCACAACTTTACCAGCCTTTTGTTGCCCCTGTCCCAACTTTTTTGGAACGTGTTGTTGGCATCAAATTCAAAATGGGCAGATATTTTTCAAAAAAACTATAAAATTTCTCAGTTTCAACATTTGATATATTGTGTTTGTACTGTTTTCAATGAAATATAAGGTTTAAATGATTTGCACATCATTGCATTTTGTTTTTATTTACATTTTGCACAGCGTCCCAACTTTCTTGGAAATGGGATTGTAATATTTTTGCCATATTGCCCACCCTTAATAAAAACCACAAAATAAAAAGTCAAGAGGAGATGCATTTATAATGTTAATGGCATTATAATGTAATGTAGCGCGGTCTAAGAGGGCACTGTTGTGTGGTTATGGTGTCACCGGGGGGCGTGGCCACTTCTTATGACCAGAGCAGCAGCTACATAGATAAACATCACAAGCTGTTTTAGCTTTTAACTCAATATGTCATCATATCACAAATCCAAACTTAACAAGTGCTATTAGGAGTTATATTTCAGATTTAAGTCACTCATAAACATATTTTAGTTTTCTATTATGAATTAGGGCTGCATGATATGGACATAAAATTCAGCACAGCTGTTGGATATCTCGATGAGCATATATGAAGTGCCAAATTATAATATATTATGCATGTCAAGTCAAAACATGAACAAACCACAGACTTATAAAGAAAAAAACTTTTAAACCTTTTGAGACATTGATTTACTTATATAACAACTTATGTTTTAGCCCTAAATAACGTAGTTAAGACAGCGTTTTACTGCGCTGGTGTTGGGAAGCTCAGTTCTATCTGCTAAGTAAATAACTAGCAAATTATTCTTATCAACCAGAGACACAAAACAAACAGAATTCACCTCCAACTTCCAGCACTCTGGCAGTTTTTCTCCAAATTGAAAGGATGAATGATAAAGTGATGCAATAGGATGTGTTGAAAATAGAAACAGGACGTCCGTCTCTTGGCACTTTGGCAGCTCACAGCTGGTGTAGACAACTTCACTGATTATAATGGTGTTAGAACAGGGTCTTAGTACTAAATAGCATTGTTTTTTTACTGTGCATTTAAGACTGATGTATGTAAATGAGCTCTATTCTGATTGGCTGCCCTGTATAGTGCCTAATTCAAAACGCAGTCTGGGCTGAAACACTCAAACGCTCAATATGTATATTTAATGAAATATTAATCGTTATTGTCATTTTTATGACCTATTTGCAAACATTTATACCATTTCAAATTAAAAAATAATAATAATTTTTAAAAGTAAATTAGGTAGTTTTTCATTAAATATTATGCTCACTAATGGTCAGTTTCCGAAATTCTGGGATTAAACCTAGTCGTGGACTACATTTCCCTTTAATGGAGAATTTTCATTGTGTAGTCCAAGACTAGGCTTAATCTCTGAGCTGGAAACCCATAATGCATGTTTTTTGTGTTTCTGTGAATTTTCACCCTTTAAAATTAAATATCATGGAGAATGAGTGTCAGTCCCATATACTGGTTACTAGTCTACTAATAGGTATTAAACATATGGATCTACTGTTTGATCCATATGTTTTTGCCAGTTTTATGGCCGTCTCACTGTCTTTCTCTTGTGCAGATATCAGTTTGTTTGACGAACTGGGTGACCTGGGCGATGCTGAAGAGCTGCTGCGAGTTCTTGAGGGCACTGGATATGTGAGTCCAATGAAAAGCTACTCAACATGTTTTTTATAGAGACAAACTCCAATTAATCTAACTAATAAAAATGAGTCATATTTTTCCTTCCGTAAAGTTAACCGAATATCCATCCCTGCCTTATACATAAGAGCACAGTGGCTTTACAAAAGAGTATTTTTTTAATGGATTGGTTTAAAGAACGTTGAATTACGTCTTTCTGCAGACCGACAGTGCAGCTGATCTGAACTTCGATGTCAACCTACCAGTGTGGAATTCGGACGGCTGGGGAGACGCCAGCAGCATCTGTACAGGTACAAAAACCTCCACATAATATACAAACAAATTAAAGGTTTGTCCTAGAACTGTGAATCCAAGCCAGTAACTATTTACAAACCTTTATTTTTAAGATTTTTACTTCACAGAAATATGTTATAGAGTAGACCAGGGGTTTTAAAGGAGTAGTTCCACAAAAAAATCTGATTTGTCCCCATTATCCCTGATGTAGTCGATCAGTCTAGACCAGGGTTTCTCAACCTGTGGGCCGTGAAGCACCCTCTAGTGGTCCGCGGACCTGAACTCAGGGGGAGGCAGAAAGGTTTCTCAGGGTGTTTCTCCTGCTTTGTTCTGTGCGGACCGGTCAAACTTGTTGGTGAATGTCACCTTTGTAAGCATCTATAAACACATTCATATGAAACATGTTATAATGCATTCATAAGATGTTATAAACATAGCTATAAATATTTATAAAAATGCATTATACATTATAGCCATGCTTATTATGCATTATGAATTGTTAACATAATACATTATAAGTACTGTTCATAACAAATTATAAGAGCTCATAAGTTGTATTTGTCCGCTCTAAGTAAAGTGAAGCGTACTGTACTAAAGCCTCCTCCAGTGTTCAGAGTGAGGCTTCAAGTTGAAGTATTTACTGAAGGATTTACTGAAACACTAAAACATTCACAATAAAGCACATTACAGGCTTCAAATGTCAGAGTTTAAACTAGAGCTGCCATCAGTGTTTTACCCAATGTGGGAAAGGTAATGTTCACCACCGTTAGCTTGGTATTTGTCTTTACTTTACACTCTCCAAGCTGGGACTGACTTCTTTGGCACTGACATTATAACATGTTATTAACGCTATTTATAATGCATTATATTAACAATTCATAATGTATAATAAACATGGCTATAAAATGTAATTCAGTGTAATTCTTTTTTTATAACCATGTTTATAATGCCTTATGAATACATTATAACATGTTATAAATGTGTTTATAGATGCTTACAAAGGTGACATTCATAGAAAGTGTAACCGATCTGCTTCAAAGCGAACCCTGTTCAGTTCATGGCTGAACGTCAGCGCTGTACTGTCAGCATAATCTGCCTGTTTAACGTCTGACTCTTTACAGACTCTCATTGCTCTCATATTGTTCATGCAGTTCGAGCTGCAGCTGATAAAAACGACAGACATAAAATAACGGCGAAGATCTGCGTTTGATTTCTGGCCGAACATCAGCGATCTGAGTAGTTAAACTCAGCTTGACAAACTAATGGCAAAAAAGCAGACGTGATGACGGTAGTCCAGAAGCCCCCGAGTGGCGTGAGGTTTACTCCAAATTAGGCGCTAAAACCCGCAAACCTAAAGAGACATCTTGACACCAAACAGTCTCTGGGAGCCACAAGGGTATTTTCAGTGAAAATGCAATTGACTGCAGCTCCAAAATCACAATCTACATCTGCATCCACCTTTTTTTCTTTTTTCCCCCTTTTTTGACATCCCTGCATACATATGGGTTTTAACCATGTTCTTCAACGCAACAGCAAATTTTGGTTTCTGTCATTGAAGTTAAATGGACGATCTGGACGAAAGAAATTGATCTTAGTTTTTCTGTGGGCTGCTATGCTTAATAGTTATACACAGGTGGGTCCTGGGGTGGAAAAGGTTGACAACCCCTGGTCTAGACATGTATGTATTTAGCCCTTAGAAAGACTAATAGATTGCCATTTCCCATTCAGACACGAATTAGAAACGCTGCTATGATATAGCGACTATAATATAGACTCCTAACGTTACATTTGCTTGCCATTGTAAGTTGCTCTGGATAAAAGTGTTATTTAAATGTATGTAAGGATTAAGCCTTGTTGTTTTATTGTTTGCCTGTTGCACAAACGAAAGCGTTGGCTAAATATGTAAATACAAGAATAACATTTTTAATTTTTGTTATGTTTTCTCAATACTTAACATCATAAATCTTTACATTTTGCGGTAGAATTAATTGTAATAAGTCTTTTTTTATTTTTTTTATTAGCAAATATTTCAGTTTCACATTAATGACACTTTGTGTCCTTGTTTTCTTCCCATCCGCCAAAACCGTCCTTGCCGTCACCGTGGCTTGAAGTCCCTACTGACTCTCAGACAGAAGGACTGTGGAAGCTCTGTAGTACCTGAACCTCAGAGGCTGTATTTTGAATATCTGTGTTCCAAATGATGGGGGTTCTAAACTCCAGTTCTGCGCGCTCACTGCTCTGCACAGTTTCGGCTCTTTTCTGCTCCAGCACAGCTGATCCAGGTCATGAGCTGATCTTTAAGTTCTTCATAAGTTGGATCAGGTGTTTTGGTCCAGGGCAAACTTGAGACTGTGCAGAGCAGTGAGTCCTCAGGACCAGATTCAAGGTCCAACGTTGAATAGCTCTGGTTTATACCTTCACTGTCCTGATGTTAGGTTTCCTGTGTTGTATAATAGTAAAGCTGTCCTCCTGCTCTTGGGTCTTAATGTTGGCTCTGATTTGTTTTGCTTTTACTTACAGATGGAGAAGCGTCAGCAGACTCTCTCTCTCCGAGCCACACAATCAGTTCAGTGTCTTCGCCTGCGTCAGTGGAGGCCCACTCACCATATTCTCTGCAGGTAAGCCCCCCTCACTGTCTGCACGTGGTGTTTGAGGTTTTCAGTGTTGTGCTTTGGGAAGCATGTCTCTATTTTTCAGATACATACGCCTGAAAATGAATGACGAGTTTCACTCTGAATGCTGTGTACACATTTGTAACAGTCCTTGATTGGGGATAAGGAGCTTGAAAAGAATAACCTCTGAGTTTGATGTTAAACACATTTCTATTTCTGTAATAAAGGTGGTATTAATCATAATATAACATTGATAGAATATCATGGAGAAGAAGAACAATGTGAAACCCTTCAAACGTTTTTTTTTTTACATGCACTTACTAAAGCTTTTTCTAGCTCTCTTCTGACCCAGTCGTATTTGACACGAGTCAGAGTGTAATATTTGCATATTATTTGCTTTGGTAAATTGTTATTATTTATTTATTATTATTATTATTATTATTTTTGCTTTGTTTGTTCCTAACTTTGTGTTAGTAAATGCTACCTGAACACACAGTAGTGTAGTATATTTATTCCAGTTGGTCAAAGAAATGGACACAGAGCACAAGTTACAGCAGCACATAGTGTGAAACGCAAAGATTATATGAATGATTTTTTTATTTATTTTTGTCACACATTTATCTGCAACAAAATGTGTTTAATATCACTGAAAACACCGAAGCTTCTGAACAGTTGTGTAGTAAAAGTACAGCAAAGTATTATATTTGTATGTTTTGCTGTTGAGGATGTCTTTACAGTGAGAACCTCACAGCGCTGTGCCGTTAATGCTTCAACACACACAGTAAACACGTTTGCACTGCATTTTCTCTCATTAGCAATTAATATTTTACTAGAATGATTTGGACATGTTCGGTTTATTGTTAGCATCACTCTACACTAGACTGAAGTAATCTCACTGAGTGTGTTTACATGCACTTAATAATCCGACGACTGCAGAAAAGATTTTGTCAGTAATCCGATCAACGTGTTTACATGCACTTGAGTAATCAGATAATGGGGAAACTCTGGGTCTGCAGGAGTCAGACTGTAATCAGATTTCTGCTTTACAACCAGCCAATAAACTCTCAGAAGAAGACGCGACGTAATGTAAAACTCAAACTTCATACCGCGCCTTTTTTTTTAACCACTGAATTGATGAACATACATCATTTAGAAGATGAAGAATATTTAGATCCTTTATTTCGTGTTTGGTTTCATATCGGGTACCGCTGTCTGTTTTCACGCATGTGCAGACTGAGAAATCCAAAAGAAATCAGAGTAAGAGTTTACATGCACCGGGAAATCTGATAACTGAGCTAAAATCCAGCCTCTTTATTGGATTTCTTTGAATATTTGGATAACTGCGGAAATCCCATTAGGATCGGAATATTGAGTGCATGCAAACGCGCTCATCGTTAAAATGACACATGAAACCCAAACCTAATTAGAATTCTAAAAAATAAATTAAAATAGCTAATTAACAAGGTTTTCATGAACTGAGTTCAGAGCGTTAGGTGAGGGTAAACGCTGATTTCTGCAGTACTTCGGCCTAGAAGATTCCAAGTTTGACATGCCTGGATTATATGAATACCTTGATTCATCGAAACACCCACAAACACTCACCTGGAGCTGTGATTGGTCATTTTGCAGCCTATTGCCATGTTGCTTTCGCAAAGGCCAATATTACAGTAATAATGCAGTGACATGTAATGGGCGGCTCTACTTCTTAACCTGAAGAGGTAACTAAAATTGGCCTTTGACAGCAGCCTTGAACAAAGTCTTGAGAAATAGCGTCTATCTGTCCAGATGGGCTGTGTGTGTGTGTGTGTGTGTGTGTGTGTGTGTGTGTGTAAGAGTGAGTGACTGCGTGTTATTGCCAGCTGTTCCGTCCCAAAGCCGGAGAGGTCAAAATCCGCCCTTCCCACACACCCATGAGGGTTTGCTGTCTAATTAAAGCTCCAGTGTGCTAACAAACGTCTCAATCGCCCTTCTGCACATCGCCCGGCTCATTAGCACCTCACTGTGTGAGGTGTGTCCGCCCTGGAGGTGCTGACAGCTCGGAGTGCATTAGCCTGACCATAAGAGGCAGAGCGGCGCTCATTAACACATTAAAGACATAAAGAGAGAGTCCACCCCCCTCACCCTGCCACTCACGCTCACTTTCAGTTTGCTGTTGTTGACACGGTGCCAAATAACATCAAGCGTCTCAAAGTGACCCACGGAAAAAGTCTGGAGTGGGAGTTAATAAGCCATTATAAATTCTGGCAGTAATTTGTGGCTTTAAATGACCAATTAAAGTAATCATGTTATTAGGGTTGTCATGATTACTCGATTAAACTCAAGTAATTGATAAAAAGATCACAGATTAAGGTTTACCTTTTTATAAGGTGTACTAATTTCATTACGTTATCATGGAAAGCACTGTCAGCGATCAAAACTAGGCATCAGAACAGCTTTACAATATTATTTATGTTGCAAAAGGACATTAAAACTTCAAAAGGCTGTCTGTATCGTGTATAATTAGAGCTTCATAGAGTCAAGACTTTACATTTCAGTCAGGTTTTTCATTCTAACCACAGGGCTGAGACAACGTTGGCTTGTTTTGTGAATGACCTCAGACTGTTTTGCTCTTATTGGATCATAGTGCAGCTTTTGATTACAGCGCTCTAATCCACCGTCTTGAATACTGGGTCGGCCTCTCGGGCACAGTTTTAGAATTGGTTTAAATCGTACTTAATGAATAGACGGTTCTTGTTTTTATTGGGAAAATCATTTAACAAAAAAGTTGATATTTCTTGTGGAGTCCCACAAGGTTCAGTTTTAGTGCATTTGCTTTTCTCTTTGAACACATCTCTAGATAATGTCATTAGGAAACGTCAATGCTGATGACATAAAATTATACACTTCCATTTCTTCTAAACTCAAGACTTACCAGCTGTGTGTCACATATTTCTCAATGTATCTCACAAATGTTTGTACAGTCAAGAAAAACACTGATCCTTAGTGGTGAAATTCACGAAAGCTTCTTCGTGAGAAGCTCGGCTGTTTTGCTTTGTATACCAAACCTGATGTACAAAACCCGGGTGTGATCTCTGTGTGTAAACGTGGTCTCTAAAGTAGCTTTTTTATCATTTGAAAAATATTGCTAAAGTTTGGGCTTTTCTATCTCGGAGCGACGCAGAGGAACTTCTTCACATATTTATTACAAGAAGTGTTGATCACTGTAATGATCTTCTTACTGAGATTCCTAAGAAAACAGTGCATCCCTTACAACTCGTACAAAATGCAGCAGCATCCTAACAAAAACAACACAGAGAGATCAGATCAGTCCTGTTTTAAAAGAGCTGCACTGGCTGCCTGAATCATTCAGGAGAGATTTTAAAGTCCTGCTACTAGTTTTTAAAGCTCAAAATGACCTTAAAGCTCCGTTTACATCACAGAGTGTCTGTCTGTTCATGATCTTAGATCTGCAGATACTGAACTTCTACAAACACCTTCTGTAAAATACAGAAAACATGGAGAGACTCTTTCAGTTATTCTGCTTCTAAACTGTGGAGCTCAGTTCACCTTTTATTAGACAGTCAAACTCAGAGCTCACTTTTAAGAAGGATCTAAAAATCTCTGTAATTTAGTGATTAATTACAATTCTTTTGATATTTTTATCTTTTGAATTTGATTATTTATCTTTTTGACATTGCTTTAACACAATTTTAGATGAGTTTCTTCTGTTACTGGTAGCTTTATCACCTGTCTGTACAGCACTTTGTGCTGCCACCAGTATTAAAAAGGGCTCTATAAATACAGATAATGTTGTTGTTGTTGTTGTTGTTATTATTATTATTATTATTATTATTATTATTAAGCATTAAATATCAATAATAACATCTTGATCTCAAAATCGAAAATTGTATTAAACCTTAAAATGTAAGAATTGGCAGTGATAGTCTTTGAAAAAAATTATTGGTCAGTCAGTTTTGTTTTGTTCATTCTTATAACCGTTTCATCAATAGTGAAAAATAATCAGTAGGTTGCTTAATTGATTATATAAATTAGTTATATAATTGATAGTAATAACAAATTAGATCAAGGCCACTTGTCAAATACATACTAGTCTGTATTTATTTAATCACCATTTACAACAGATTCAAGATTCAAATTCAGATTCAAGATTCCTTATTGTCATTGCACAGGGTACAACAAAATTGGGTAGCAATCCTAACGGTACATAAACAAAAAAAAAGATTAAACTAGGAATAAATCAAAAATATAGGCTAATGTAAATTATAAAATGCAAGATATTAAAAGAAAAGTTATATAATTTTAAAATTATTTAAAAAAAAAGTAAAAAAAGAGATAAATGAAACTAAAATAATTTAAAATAAAATTAAAAAAAGTAAAATAAAAAGGGTGGAAAAAGAATGTAGCAGCTGTGGTGTTGCACATGAGGGTATTACACACGTGTGTAATGGGAGTATTTCCATTTACAGATATTATTACTTTTACTATTATTTACAGATAGTATTCCTATAAATATATCTATTTACAGTTTAATAATAAATATAAAGTGCAGATGAATGTAAATATATTTTAATATCCTATTTGATATCCTTTTAATATCCTATCCTAATATATATCCCTCTTTACTAATATATTGAAATATATTCAACATGTATTACTAATATTAAAAATATCTAATATTTTTGCTGCTGAAGTGATTTTGTCACACAACATTGTGCAGCTAAATATTTAAATGTCTTTGCTTACTTCATCCTGTTACCTGAAATAATTGTTTATTTCGAGCATTGATTTATTAAACATCATACATTTTCCTCTCTATTAAGGATGTTTTCATTTCCTCATTCTTCAAAGTTCAGGATGTGTCCTACTGCACTGGGCTGATGGTGACTGATGCAATCTAATGTAACTTGTTTTGCCCTGATCATATTTGCACAGTTGAGCTCTTCCCCGTTCTCCCTGCTGTGTCTTTATCAGTGAGTTATGTAGTGTTTTCTGTAAATAGTCACTGAGCTTCTTCTGGGAACAGGAGTTGTTCAACCCTGTTTTTCAACAGGACATTTCTGACATTCCTGTAGGCTTAACATGGCAACACTCAGCAGGACTATTTATTATTTCATTTGGGCATTTAAGTGAATTTATCCATGCATTTACACCAATCAGGCATAACATTATGACCACCTCCTTATTTCTACACTCATTGTCCATTTTATCAGCTCCACTTACTATATAGGTGCACTTTGTAGTTCTACAGTTACAGACTGTAGTCCATCTGTTTCTCTGATACTTTGTTAGCCCCCTTTTACCCTGTTCTTCATTGGTCAGGACGCCCATAGACGCTCACAGAGCAGGTACTATTTGGGTGGTGGATCATTCTCAGCACTGCAGTAACACTGATGTGGTGGTGGTGTGTTAGTGTATGTTGCGCTGGTACGAGTGGATCAGACACAGCAGTGCTGCTGGAGTTTTTAAACACTGTGTCCACTCACTGCCCACTCTATTAGACACTCCTACCTTGTCAGTCCACCTTGTAGATGTAAAGTCAGAGACCAGAGCTCATCTGCTGCTGCACAGTTTGTGTTGGTCATCCTCTAGTCCTTCATCAGTGGTCACAGGACGCTGCCCACAGGACGTGTTGACTGGATATTTTTGGTGGGTGGACAATTCTCAGTCCAGCAGTGACACTGAGGTGTTTAAAAACTCCAGCAGCACTGCTGTGTCTGATCCACTCAGACCAGCGCAACACACACTAACACACCACCACCACGTCAGTGTTACTGCAGTGCTGAGAATGATCCACCACCCAACTAGTACCTGCTCTGTGAGCATCCATGGGCGTCCTGACCACTGAAGAACAGGGTAAAAGGGGGCTAACAAAGTATCAGAGAAACAGATGGACTACAGTCTGTAACTGTAGAACTACAAAGTGCACCTATATAGTAAGTGGAGCTGATAAAATGGACAATGAGCGTAGAAACAAGGAGGTGGTCAGAATGTTATGCCTGATCAGTGTATGTACAGTCATATGCAAAAGTTTGAACACCCTGATCAATTCACATGTTCTGATGGTTTTCTAAGTGAAAATAAATGAACTACAGGGAGCACTGCTAAATATGGCATTTTCCTGCAAATCTTAGTGCACATTTTCAATTTATTTGCTGAGTCACCTACTGGAAAACATATTGCTGCTGTCAGAAGAAAACCTCGTATCTCCATTTTTCAGTTTTTGACATAATCTGAAAATGCCTGTTGCCCTTTACATTGTGGGTAAATTCCATGAAGAATGGACCAAAAGAATCGGCCCAGAATTACTTGGCAAAACGGTAAGTCTGGTTCCATAGACTTACATTATAAGTAAAGTAGGTTTTTACGTTCTCCTGTAAAATTATCATTATGGAGATATGAGATTTTCTTCCGACAGCAGCGATATGTGCCCTAACTTTTGCTCAGGTCACATTTTATGTTTTATTCTTTTTACCAAGATGTTAAGTCCACCAAATACATAGTAACTGTGAATAAAAATGTGCAGAAGTGTGTTCTCTGTAGAGGATATGTTAACATTTGACCAGGGAGCCCAAACATTTGCATAAAATTGTATGTACATGTATTTTATATACACCTACATATGCATGCATTGCAAAGAATGTGTCTAATTGTTTTATCCCTTTTATTAATTCTAAAGGCTTCTGCTCAGTTGTGTCAGTTTCCTTTATAAAGCCTTGCTAATTTCCTGTTTAACCTGTCAGTCTGACTGGTTTTCAGCATATCACCAAGGCGTCTGCAGATCTGTAGGCATTATGCTCCCAACACTTAAAGTTCTGTATATGCTTTAAAATCCACACAAATTAGAAATATAAGGACAGGAAACATGAGCCTGCTAGTGCAGTGGTTTTTTCATAGTACATTCTCAGACATAAAGGTACTAAACTGTCTCTGGGTCAGTGCCCCTCTCGTCACTGGGGTGGAACCCTTTAAGGGTTCATCTCAGTACCTTTAGTCAGGGAACATAACTGAACCATAATCCACTGAAATGATATGTTCTAAGCTGTACTGACTCCACACACCCCGTCTCGTCTCCAGGCTTTTATTTTACTGTTCTGTTTCAAAACATTCGGTTACGAAAAGGTACAAATATGAACTTTTCACCTGGAAAAACTTATTTAAGGTTCACAATCAGACCTTAAAAGCACTGTAGAGCTTTGAGGGAACATTTACACTGTTTGTACCTTGATGAAGGAGAATTGTACCTACACTACCTTCATTTCTAGCAGTGTAGGTCCTCATTTAGAAACCATTTGTATGCACAGATTTGATCTTAAAATGTAAAATCTCACCTAGTGATTCATTAAAAATTATTTGGTGCGTAGATGAAGTTTCTGACCTGGTGAATGAATAGCGGTCAGAGTGCGTTACAGGGATTGGTGTAGACAATTCATGGACATTAAGGCCCTTAAGGCCCTTAAGGTTGCCAGGAAAATTCCAGTGGACTTCACCATGATGAGTGATTTTTGTGCCCCAGACTTCCGAGGCGAATACATTTTGCATGCAAAATTCCACGCTGAGAACTTTGCTCTCAAATTTGACTCACAAATTTGCTTCTTCAACCAGCAGCACTTCTGCTTTGGCTGCTTTGACCTCTGAAGAGGTCTTCGTATAGCAGCACCGAAGCTCCAAAATGGAGAAAACACTCACTTTAACAGTGTTTAAGGACAGACCTCAAACTCTCTTATCCCCCCTGGTTATAAATCATCATATTAAAGGAAGACATGATGCACAGTCAGTCAGGAGACTATATTATCATCTTTGTTTTTGTAGTTTTACAGTTTGGGGGAGACAAGTTACTACTACACCTACTTGCTAACTGCAATGTTAGCTTGTTGGCTAACCACAGCTGCCATCACGGCCATGCCAGTTTTCTGCACTTTTTATTGCTACAGATCAGTTTGCAGCCATTGTCCTGTGACACTATATAGTTATCTGATATAATTATGTTCACTTTTGTGGTTTTACTGTTTATGTTAAGAAGTTAGCCACCTTGCTAACTGCTAGGTTAGTGCAGCTACGTACAAGTCACCCCATGCCAACTATGACAGTTACCTACATGTTCACTTTTGTGTTGTTGCTGTTTATGGTTAGTGAATTAGCTAGTTTGCTAACTGCACCAACAGGTTTTTTTCTCTGCTGTTCTTCCGGTCCAGCCTCAGTCACCAGATTCAGCTAATTAGCAGCCAAACAAGCCCTTCCTGATTTGAAGAGGGTGTGTTGGAGCAGGAGAAACACAAATATGTGGGGAGGACCAGGACTGGGAACCACTGTGCTGGGATTCTTGCACTTATTATACCTGAATAAATGTGATGCATGTTTCTTCTCTTTTCTGCCCCCTCCAGAATGAAGCTCTATCTCCACTCTCCCCCCAGTCTCAGCCCTCTCCGCTGTCCGTCTGCTCAGACTCCAGTGGCTTTGTTGAACTTCCCCCTGAGAAGAAGCTGTGCAAGAAGACCAGTCAGACACAGAGAGGTGAAATCACTCAGCCGGTCACTTGCTTATACACTGTATTGCCAAAAGTGTTCACTCACCCATCCAAATCATTGAATTCAGGTGTTCCAATCACTTCTATGGCCACAGGTGTATAAAACCAAGCACCTAGGCCTGCAGACTGCTTCTACAAACATTACTGAAAGAATGGGAGCTCAGTGAATTCCAGTGTGGTACCGTGATAGGATGCCACCGGTGCAACAAGTCCAGTCGTGAAATTTCCTCACTACTAAATATTCCACAGTCAACTGTCAGTGGTATTATAACAAAGTGGAAGCGATTGGGAACGACAGCAACTCAGCCACGAAGTGGTCGGCCACGTAAAATGACAGAGCGGGGTCAGCGGATGCTGAGGCGCATAGTGCACAGAGGTCGCCAACTTTCTGCAGAGTCAATCGCTACAGACCTCCAAACTTCATGTGGCCTTCAGATCAGCTCAAGAACAGCGTAGTGAGCTTCATGGAATGGGTTTCCATGGCCGAGCAGCTGCATCCAAGATGCAGTGCCGCCACTGGACTCTAGAGCAGTGGAGACGTGTTCTCTGGAGTGACCAATCACGCTTCTCCATCTGGCAATCCGAAGGACGAGTCTGGGTTTGGCGGTTGCCAGGAGAACAGTACTTGTCTGACTGCATTGTGCCAAGTGTAAAGTTCGGTGGAGGGGGGGATTATGGTGTGGGGTTGTTTTTCAGGAGTTGGGCTCGGCCCCTTAGTTCCAGTGAAAGGAACTCTTAATGCTTCAGCACCAAGAGATTTTGGACAATTTCATGCTCCCAACTTTGTGGGAACAGTTTGGGGACGGCCCCTTCCTGTTCCAACATGACTGCGCACCAGTGCTGACCTCAACCTGATAGAACACCTTTGGGATGAATTAGAGTGGAGACTGTGAGCCAGGCCTTCTCGTCCAACGTCAGTGTCTGACCTCACAAATATGCTTCTGGAAGAATGGTCAGAAATTCCCATAAACACTCCTAACCCTTGTGGAAAGCCTTCCCAGAAGAGTTGAAGCTGTTATAGCTGCAAAGGGTGGGCCGACATCATATTAAACCCTATGGATTAAGAATGGGATGTCACTCAAGTTCATCTGTGTGTGAAGGTAGACGAGTGAATACTTTTGGCAATATAGTGTACATCAGGGGTGCACATCACATCAGCTGTTATATTGTTCGCCAATAAAAGGAAAACTTTATTTAATCGATATTGGAATTATAAACAGATCATTTAGCATCTTGTTTTTAGCTTGTAAATGCACTGATGTACTTCACGTCTTCAGGAATGTTGATAATGCTGGTGGTTTGTTCTCACAGCTAAGCCTGCCCAGCCAGCAAAGAGGCCCATTCATCTGAGCCCCAAAGTTTCCATCCAGCCCAAACCAGTCATCACGGCGGTGCCGATCCCGCAGGCTACAGCTCCACTTCAGGCCAAAACCATCATCATCCAGCCTCTGCAGACCACCATACTACCTATGGTCAAGCCACCACCTGTGACCATTCAGCCAGCGCCTCCTACAGGTGAGGAAGACTCGGGTCATGGTAGTGTAAAAATCAGTGTTTGGAAACTGTTTATAGTGATCAGCAACCCCATGTAATGCATGTTTGTTGTACTCCTACTTATATGAAAGAGTAGTAAACACATTGTAGCACCGCATGTTCTACCCCGGGCTCAAGGAGGACGCTGGAGGCAGGGTTCAGGGTTGCAGCAGCCATTACTTTAATTCACCCAAATTTAAACAAACAATACAAAACACAAAACCTAGGCTGGCCACTTTTCAGTGGCTTCAGCCAGACTTTTCAGTCCTTCTCCTAAATAAGCTTTTCAGCTCTTCAGTCCTTGTTGCTGCTGCATGTCCCTCTCCATCTTTCGCTCTGTTCCCTCTCAGCGCTATTAAAAGGCGCTCACGCTGCCAGCCAGATCAACATCAGCTGTCCCTCATTAAGGGCACCTGAGCCGAGAGGGAACGAGAGCTCGCTGCTCCGCCTCCTCGTCACCGCCCCCAGCTTGCAGCTCAGCCGCCCGGGTCGAACGTGAGGTGTAGTGAAGCGGCCTCACTGCGTAACGGGGGCGGGGCCCAGGCAGCGGAGCTCGGGACTCGCTCCTTGCCCTGGTGCCTCTCGTTGCCGGCAGCGTCGTCATCTTCCTCCTCCTCCCACCATCACTCGCGTTACTCGGGTTACTCGGAGGAGCTCGGGCTTTGCGCTCCGCCCCCTCCCCACTCGCGGCTCTCTCCCTGCCGTCCCGGCCGGGGTTCGTCGCCTCTGGGTGTTCGGGCCCCGTCTTCCTGCCGGCTCTCACGGCCGTCATCGTCGGGGCCCAGGGGGCGGGCGCATGCCACACACATGCTGATAAAACAACAGTGCTTAGCTTTCTGTGTTACGGTGCTCAGTCACAAGACGGAAAAATGCACCGATTTCAGTTTAAACGTACCTAAAAGGAGGACTCTGTTTGTCTGGTGTGAGAGGTTCACACTGCAGTTAATGCTTTTACACAGCGAGCGTGTAAATCACTGACGTACCGAGCCAGCTAATGTTTGTTCGTATTAACCTGACGTTGTTGAGAAACTAAACAGTTCAGCACTCGTCACGACAGCTAAAAATAATCCATTTTCTTTCTTAAATTATGAATGATCCAAATACTGTGGCCGTGCTTTTCCAGCTGGTAAAAACAGCCAACCAGAAACTTTCTCCTACTATCCCATGACAGATTTGTGAAATGTTCCACTGTTTGGCAGGTGTTTGTCATGTTCTGACCATAAAGGATAGTTTAAAAACAGTCAGCCCTCAAACTTGTAAGAAATAATGACTTGACGTTTATCGTGATATGTATCAGTATCGACTGTTATGAACATTTTTATTGTGATAAGATTTTTGGCCATATCGCCCAGCCCTAACATCAGCTGATAGTTTTACTCCAGTAGTTTAAGTTAAACAGTACTGACTTACACTATTGTAATAACTAAGAGGTGAGCCTGCTCGGCTCAACTCAGACAGCTGAGATGTATGGTGTCTATATAAAATATATAGCCATATGAGCTGCATGGCCTTTGTCCACTTGATGGTTAGACAAGTCCCCATATTCATGAAGTGACAACAGGAAGTATGATGGGTCTTTTTTTCAAATTTGCATCACATTCCTAAATGTGGTTTCCTTATCCAACGTTTAAAAAAGCAGGTCCTACTTTAAAGCGGTAGGGCCATTTCAGCTCTACCACAGAGAAAGCAAGACAGCTTAACAGGGGTGAATTTCCCCTAACATTGTTGAATATTAGGGAAACTGACCCCTGAAACTGACCCCTGGTCAGTTAATGCAATTTCTCTGTGGTCGAGTTTAAATTAGACCTGAAACTTTGGTCCAGCCTAAACCTCTCAGTTTTATGCCTGAACACAAACCACATCAGGTTTTGAGTTCTAAACTGACCTCAGTCCAACAGAATTCTCTTCGATCACCCCAAGTGCCAAATAAAACCTGATAGGACTGTGCCGGTTAAATTACCACAAGGTGGCAATAATAGCTGCGATTTATGTCACAGATAAATAACATTTTAAAAAATGATAGAAAATAATTTGATAAAATTATCAAGTAGTGCTTTTGAAAAAACGTCCCAAAGTTATTTTTTAGTCTGCATAAACATTTTGATATTTGGGTCATTCTACAGAAACGTCCACTTTTCTATCTCTCCATAGGAGTCACTGGTGTTACTGATCCTCATTGGTGTTACATAATAAAGGGAACACCAGAGACATTTTTAATGAAAAATGCATTTTACAGAATGGCTGCTACAGAGCATCAAACCACATGATGTCAATAATTAATATCCACTAAAATATGGAATTTAATCCATTTGTATTCTATTTTTTCACAGTTAACTCAGAATAAAGTGGGTCACACCAGTGACTTCAGCTAAAAGCTTCATATGAAATCATGAGCTAAATGAGAAACTCTCTGATAACTGAAAGACACAGTGGACTCACCATGTGCTTTTCTTCATAGATCTTCAGAAAACAGGTAAAAGGAAGTCGAGTGATGTCATCAGTGTGACTTTTATTTCAAAATAAGAGATTTTTTGTTACGCAGTAACACCAGTGACACGACTCCTGGGGACAATTTTCATTATATATTTTATAATATTTATTTGGCATTTGTTTTCTTTATGTCATTTAATTCATATATTTCATAGTCATGTATAGATTATTGTAGTTAAAATTGCAGAAAAACATGTTTTTTTTCTTCAAAATATGGCCTCAGCCTTTAAACATGACTGTGGGGACGAGCTCTTCTGTGGTGCTTGGAATTCTAGATGATTGATTTAAAAACCAATATTGCTCAATTGATGGATCAAGATGGTGTAATTGTTAAAATAACATTGTTTTATTTGAAAATGTAAAAAAAACATTTTTCAAGTGTCATATATCTGTAAATGCTACGGACACAAAAATGGACGTTTCTGTAGAATGACCCATTTGTCACATCTATTTTCTCACGTGGATGGGCCCCTGTGCCAAATTCAGTAGTACTTGACTCCAGCGTGCCATATTAAAAATTGTTTAAAGGTTATTATGACCATAAATAGAAAACCTGAGGTGGAGTAAATGCTAGGTACAATCTGAAGTCATTCAATTCGATCCATTCAAAAATGCTGTTAATCAGTTTGTGACAATTTTGGACATTACAAGTTCTTGAAAAATCTAGCATCACTAGATCTTATATGTGTGAAGCCAACTCACAGTGATGTATATAATGAAAAAAGACTTTAAAATCTGTCTATAATGCGGTTTGGAATGAAGCCCTTCATATGTTAAAAGTGCTCTGCGATACAAGAACCCGAACGTGAAATTCCAACTTAAACTGAGCCTAAAACACATTTGAGAAATGACCTCAAAACCCCAATATTTAAATTTTTCTAGCTCTACTCTGTAGTTTGTGATTCATTGCTGGCTTAGTGGGAGTGCACTACCATGCTATGACCAGAAGATGGCAATAGATCTTAAATTTTCTTGCTGTTCATTGAGTACCGTTTCCTCTAGGGGCAACATCGGCTTTAGAACATTTTTTAACGAAATAAATCATCTTAAAGTTCTGAGTGTGGAGTATGTAGCCTGTCACATCTCAGTCTATGGAAACACTGTTATTAATATACTTACAGTATGTTGGCAACAGAGTAAAGAAGAGTCTTGGCTCAGCTATTTGTGCTGGTACAAAGACCATCTGGCATCTGTCTGATCCTATTACTGTCACATTCCTATAGATCTAGTTTATGTCAGTCCTTGATCTTGTGTATTTTTGACACATTTAATTGTACAAAACATGAATTTACGTTTGAGAAACAGGACCAAACAGCGCAAGAAGTTTTGTCTGAGACCAGACAAATGCCGTGCATCACTAGTCTCTAAGTCACTTCCAACATCCGCCGTCCCTTGCCAATGTAAACACTTACCTCATATACCTGGAAACGCTGGTGTGGAGTTCTGGATCAAACAGACTCAGAGCTCTTTTAAACAGGTTTACCACACTCAGCTGAGTATTTTGAGTTGATAGGAGGCTATTTTCTCATGCCCTGGCTGCTTCAGTCCAGAGAAGAGAAAAAAGTTTTATTCAGCTCTTGAGGACACATAATTGAAGACCAGCTCCAAATTTTGTCCTTTTTATTTCTTTTAGTGCCCCAGAAATGGCTGCGTTATTGCATGTTTTCGTTGGGGTGTTTTTACTCTCTGAAAGCCTTTGTTGTTGCAGCCTTTCAAGTTGCAGCGATCTCTAATGGGGGCTTTAACGAATTACAAAGTAAAGCGGTGTTATTTATAGGCTGTAGTGCCTTTAATTGCTTAAAAGAGACGTCAGACACAACGGCTGCACAATGTGTAGCAATACATTTGTAGTGCAAGTAATACGGATGAGCCAGAATGTTCAAATAGTTATGAAAGTAGAATTTTTGATGAGCAGTTTGGCTTCTCTGTAATCTTATATCTCTCTAATGATCTCATATTGAAGAACCCTGAGATATCGGAACTGCTCCACCAGGAGGCAGCGCAGAGCCTGCATCTTAATTTGTGGTCAGTCTGTTTAGTCCGTAAGCCCCGTCCCAATTGCTGCACCATTTGTATGTAATTAAGCTTCTCATTGAGCTGCATTATGCTTGTAATTAGACTTGAGAAGGCAATTAGCACATTAAACAATAAATGAATACAATCAAATGTAATCTTGCGGGATGCAGCACTTTAAGAACCTGCACGTTGCACAGGCCTGTCCCAGATCCACTCTTTTAAACCTTGAGTTCTCCTTTCCTTTCCGTCTGTATGTTGTTGATATTAGTAAAGAGTGGATTTGGAGGAGGTCCGCTGGGCTTAGGGAGCCTTCTGGGACAAGCCCATAGAAGGACTACTGCAGCCGTCTAAGGCTGGTTTACACATGCAAAGATTTCAGCCAATCTGATTGAACACATTCCGATTACAGATTCAGACTGAGATGTTTATATTCTCACTTTACTCAACAATCTGATGGAAAATCTTTGTTTGTATTCACACTACAAGTAATCCGATCCAAAATGACGCACAGGCGTAGGGAACCACTTAGTGTAGACGTTACCATGACAACGAGCATCACGTGAGTCCAGTCAGAGTGAGACGAGCAGCAGTGAGCAGCACTTGTGTTTGTAATTGCTTTAAAATGATGTCAGACTCAGGAAAACGTCCTTCACATGTCCTTATTAAAGAAGGCTGAGAGGAAGACGTCGTGTTCTGAGACACGTAAGCTGGACGTCCGTCCCACCACCGTCTTTTAAAGATCAGAGCGTAAACTTCATCTCCTCTGCAGACCAGTTTCTGCTCCGCCATGTTGAACGGTATAAACTTTCACTATGATGTGACGAACATGATCAGAACGGACTTAAACTTTCCGATAGGGAATGTAATCAGATACAGGCGTTTACACGAATATTATTCTTCTATTTAATGGATTATTTACAGGATTACCCACCTCGATAGGATAGAAACTGTATTCCAGATGGCCTCAATTAGGCTAGTCTATGTCTATTAAGGTGTTTACATGGATGTATTCTATTCCAATTGAGCTATTAGTCGGATTATTAACAATTTATTAGGCTGCATGTAAACGTGGCTACTGTAAAACTTTCATGCAACTACTTGCATGTTGTGAGTTGCATGCAACATAATCACTTTACAATTTTACAGTTACTCAAAGCACTTAAACATTCAAGAGTTGCTCGCAACACGTTGGATTACTCCACTAGACGACCAGATTAGCAACTTTTTAAATACACTGTGTCACTGTCACTATAAAATCACCTGGTGTTATTTACAAACAGTTGCACTCAAAATTATTCAACCCCCTCAAAGTTCAAGGCAGTTTGGTAATATAGACGTTGATGTAAATCTGTCAATCAAGGCTTTCGTAAACAGTCAAAGAAGGTTTATTACTACATGTTCAAGCAATTTTGAGGACATAAATTTGAGTTTACTGTAAACAGTTCAAATGAAGAAACATTCTCTCCGCAAATGTCCCTGTGCAAAATTATTCAGACCCCAAATTCAGTGTTTTGTGGTGCATTCTTTACACTTTATAACCCCCAATAAATGTTTCCAGTAGGTGCTCATGATCTTTGCCCATTCCTCATGTGGGAAACCATCCAGCTCATTAATGTTCATTGGTTTCCATGCCACCACAGCGTTCTTTGAATCCCCCCAAAGATTTCCAGTGGGATTTTAATCCTGGGACTGAGATGGCCATTTAAGGACATTGCAGGGCCGATCCCTGAACCGAGCTTTGGTTGACTTGGATGTGTGCTTGGGCTCATCGTCTCGCTGGAAAGTCCGGTGATCACCAAGCTTCAGTTTACTCACTGAAGACAACAAATTCTTCTCCAAGATCGCCTTGTATTTCAACGAATCCATGATGCCAGTCAAACGGGCAGGCTTGCCAGTTCCTGCAGCAACAATACACCCCCTCAACAGGACTGACCCACCTCCATGCTTGACCGTGGGGATTGTCATAGCCTGCTTTTCTTCTACCAAACTGCTGATCCATGGGTCCACACAGTTCCAATTTAGTTTCATCACTCCATAAAACTGTCTCCCAGAACTCCACAGTCCTGTCCAAATTCCTTCCTGCATATCCAAGTCAACTTTTATGTGCTTTTTGGTCAAGAGTGGAGTGCAGCGAGGTGTCCAGGCATGAAGTCCTTGCTTTGGTCCCGTCTTCTTCAGGCCGTACTGCAAGTCTTTGGCAGAAATATGAGTGTTTTTCTCAGCTCTGTTGTTCAAATATCTGATTCCTTTTGGCCAGATTTCGCTCTTTCTTCCACACCCAGGTAGGTTTGCTGATGTAATGGGAGTTTAAACTGATGCATGATACCTCCAATTTCATCTTTTTGAACTTGATTGATCTGGTGAAGTCAGTAGTAGGAATGATGTTGTTCAACATAATCATGGCTGTTTCCTGAAATTAAGACTCAAACCAAACGCCCAGTTCCAGCCTTTTTATTCCCATTTTTATTGTAGTTTTCAAACATGTTTTCTGAAATGCCCATCTCTAAACAGCATTCTGTCCAATACTGTGCAGCCATACCAGACAGCATCACATACAGTCATAACTTTATGGGACAGAGCCAGAGGACATGTACAGTAACAGTTGCCTCCATTTTATTTTTTGTGGCAATATGATCAAAACCTATTTGGTCAATGTGACTTCATTGTTTCAATGTTTTGATTTATAGTCGGTTAGATAGTGTTGATTGCCGCATTGTTGGGTTGGTGGGAGAACAGAAACAGTAGTAACTCATCCTGTGGTGGGCTGCATGCCTTCAGTCGACAGCTGTGCTGTGCGTGAGAGGTGGTGCGTCACAGGCGTTTTGCCACGGAGAATAAACCAGGATGCTTTTTAGCTCATTTTCATGGTCTGCAGTGTAAACACTGGGATCACTTAAAGTGCCCAGAAATTGATGGAAGATCAGACAGAGAGTCAAACAGCAACAGACACTTCAGTCTGTTTGAACTCAGTTACTGGGATTCGGTTCAGGCCTGACTGATGTTGGAGAAATAAAATCGACTGATGATGAAGTTGTTTAAAAAGTGAAAACCAGTGGAAATCACGCTAATGAAGCAGTGATATTGATATAAATTTGGTTCTTTATGTTATAATGAGCGCATATCTGTGAAGAAAGTTGCTAATTGGGTTTTAATGGCAAGGCTTTTACAGAGATCGCTGTATTATTATAATCCTCTAACACAAACAAAAATAACTGGAAATAAGATAACTGATTAAAAAAAATGTGGACCATCAGTGCTGAAAAGCTCCTCTCCTGTCATTTTGGGTCTGACTGATATGAAAATTTTGTTGCTGATACTGATTTAAGGGGCTAAAATTAAAATGATAATTTTAGTATTAATATAAGTATTAAAATTAATAATAATAAATCTTATTGAAAAGCCCACAATGTTATATTTTTGTGTTTTTTTTTCCCCTCTGAGCTTTACTTGTAACACGTGTGGTTTTATGTACCAAAAGTGAATTAAACAGGCTGTTTTTGTTACTGTCCCTTTAAGACTGATATCTATAAATGACCTCTGTTCTGAGTGACTGTCCTGTATTGTGCCTCATTTAAAAAACGTCCAGGCTGAAACGCTCTCACTGTACATCACTGAAATAATTCATTTAAAGCAACATTCTTGGTTTCCATGTATGGGCTTTGTGAACTGAGGAGGGAACAGTACAGTTTGAAACTTTAACATTGTTTACAAACTACATCAAACTCTTTTAAGTTCCCTTTATCCACTGTTTGAGTTGTACATGGATGGAAATCATTGCAGTAAAGCATAAGTGTTGCTTTGAAGCTGTTTGATTTATATAACAATGAGGACAAACCTCCGACATGAACACAGCTGCTAACTCTAGGACTTTTATTGACCAGCCTTTTACAGAGATTGCTTTGTTATTATAATGCTATTACACAAAAACTTGCAAAGATAATGTGAAGATGATTGGGGGTGGGGAAGAAGAATAAAAGCAGTTTAACAGAAACCAACAAAACCAAAATGAACCTAGAGTGCTGGGAGCTCCACCCCCATCACTACAGTGTTTATTAGGGTCTGACAGGCAATATTAGTAATAATAATAAGAATAATAATAATTACAAAAATAACCCATTTAAATTAATGAAAAAATAAAACTAAATTAAAATGGAAAAAAATGCATTATTGCTATAGATATTAGTGCTAATACTGATAAAAAGCTGACAACCAGCTGACAACAATGGTCACATAAACACCACACTCCGATCTAGAAATCCAGTTCAGAAATCTGATAAAGAGGCTGGATTTTAGCTCAGTAATCAGATTTCTCAGTGCATGTGAACTCTTACTCTGATATCTTTCGGATTTCTCAGTCTGTACATGCGCGAGAACAGACGGTGGATGTCGCAAGATGCAGCAAAACACTTTTGAGCGATGATGAAATCAAACACGAGATGAAGGAGTTAAATATTCTTCATCTTCTAGATGATGTATGTCCATTTTTTTCATGTAAAGTGGTGCGATGTTTTAGAAAAAAGCCACGGCGTGAAGTTCGAGTTTAACGTTACGTTTACGTCACGTCTTCTTCTGTGAGTTTATTGGCTGGTTGTAAAGCAGAAATCTGATTACTGTCTGACTCATGTAGATTTTCCCCATTATCTGATGTTCCAAGTGCATTCACTGTTTAACTAAAATTAAAAAAAGCTAAAAATTAACTAAAATTAAAAAAACTAAAAGGTTTTGTTGAAGTTTTTGTTTTATTTTCCACCACATAGTGTTGGCGACTAGTACCATCAATGCCAAAGCTTTCATATCGGTCAGCCCCCCCCCACCACTGATCCAGACTTCTAAGTTCTGACAGTTCTCAAGTCTTATCTAGGCTTCTGTCATTTGAATTAGCCCCCCCCCATTCCCTCTCTGTCCATCTCTCTCTTTCTGCAGCTCTGTTTTCTCTTCTGTAGCTCTTAAGTACACATTTAGGGATCGAGGAGGATCAAGGATGTTTCTAATCCAGGTTTCCTTTCTTGTTTTTGATCTTTTATTTTTCTTTCTCTCTTCTCAGGTCGTCCCGTCTTACTGTCTCAGCCCACCCAGGTGCTGCAGTTCCAGCCCTCCCAGACTGTGTCTGCGCGGGTGCTCACTACGCCCACAGTGGCCCAAGAGAGACCCGCTAACCTCTCCGCCCCTCTCGTGCCTCCACCTGTCGTTACCATCCCTTTCCAGAACCCCGCGTCAGACGAGGACGTAAGTTTTTACTTAACCAGCCAAGGTTATGTCAAAACATCTTCTCCTTCCCATTAGAGAAATTAGCCTTGGTATTATGGCTTCAGTCCAGTGTTCCAGATGAAACTATGTCGTCAGTCTCCACTGATTGACGCTGGCGGTTATTTTCTGCCTGTTTCACAGCGATTTAAAAAGATTTAGTCGTTTAGATGTAGTTTGTTTTGTGGAATTCATGCTTTTAAAGTGATAAAGACACGGAAATAGTGAACAAATAAGTCCATAGGCTTCCCAGGGCACGTAATGAGAAACTTGGAAAGGCTTTTCTACCTGCAAGACATTGTCCAGTCATGTGCTTGAAAATGCTTAAGACCACCAGCTGGGTGGCTGAGAGTTAATGGGATTCTTCAGCCGCAGAGTGCTAACGTTAATGCTTATATGGTCCACCTAGCATCACGTGTCAGCTAGGCATCGCTAGCTTTCAGTTCTTATTTCAGTCAGACTTGCATGCAGATTTTTTGTACAGCTTTCTGTAAACTACAGAATGCCCCACGCTCTGAAAGCAATCCATGTGCATTCCTCTGTCAGATGATCAGTAAAGTGGATGGAGGCCGTGTTGTTTCACCTCGCATTCTTCACTGGTAATAAAAAAAGGGAAGAGAGACGAAATCGTCTTAGAGTTAACTGGCGTTGCTGTAACTCATAACAGCCCACGCAAATACTCACTCAACCTGTCGTATATATTTACCACTGCGTAGTAATAAAAATGAGAATTATTGCTGAAATGTACAGTTTGTATTAGACTGCTGCCAGACTGTGTGTAACAACACAGTGGACTATTGTTTCTGACAGCCTGACTAAATGGACACTGGAAATTAATGTTTTTACACATTAATACTTCAGCATCATTGCTAAGGAACATATTTGTCCAGGCAGCGGTCGGGTTCAGTCGGCCTCAGGCATCATTTCTCAAATGTGGCCAAAAGTATGTGGACAGAATTACATTACATTTACGTTTATGGCATTTGGCAGACGCTCTTATCCAGAGTGACTTACAATTTGATCATTTTACACAGGTAGGTGAAGGTAGTGTTAGGAGTCTTGCCCAAGGACTCTTATTGGTATAGTGTAGGGTGCTTACCCAGGGGATTGAACCCCAGTCTACAGCGTAGAAGGCAGAGGTGTTACCCACTATACCAACCACCTTTGGACACCCTTCCTAATTGCTGAGTTCAGGTGTTTCAGCCACTCATTACTAACAGGTGTGTAAAATCAAGCATGTAGTCATGAAATCTCCATAGACAAACACTGGAAGTAGAATCAGCCGTACTGAGGAGCTTAGTGACTTTAAACATGGCACTGTGCCCACTTTGCCACAAATCGTTTTGTGAAATTTCTGCCCTGCTAGATCTGCCCCAGTCAACTGTAAGTGCTATTACTGTTAAATGGAAACGTCAGCCACCAAGTAGTAGACCACGGGCATGAAAATCTGTCCTCTGTTGCATCACTCACTGCTCCAAACTGCTTTAGATACACCATGTGACCAAACACGTAGCGGTTTGGAGGCATGCTAAGCAGCACAAGAATTGCGCATCTCGATCTTCATGAAGTGTGTTTCCATGGCTAAGCAGCTGCTTGTTTTTCAGGGTCTGGGCTCGGCCCCTTAGTTCCAGTAAAGGGTAAAGGAGATGTATTCTACAACAAACAAAGACATTTTAGACAGTTCTACGCTTCCAACTTTGTAACAACAGTTTGGGGACGGCCCCTTACTGTTCCAGCATGACTGTGCACGAAGTGATTTCCATAAAGACATGGTTTGTCGAGTTTAATGTGACAGATCTCCAGTGGCTCTGACCTCAACCCCACCGAACACCTTTGAGATGAATTGGAACGTTGATTTCGAGCCAGGCCCTCTCGACCAACATCAGTGCCTGATCTTGATGCTCTTTTGACTGAATGGGCAGAAATTCCAACAGACACTCTGTAAAATCTTGTGGAAAGCCTTCACAGAACAGCAGAGGCTGTTATAGCCACAAAGGGGGGCAACTCCATAGCCATTAATAGCCATGGTTTAGGAATGGGATGGCCAACAAGCTCATGCAGGTGTGATGGTCGTGTGTCCACATACTTTTGGCCATGGATTTGTGTTTGTCGGGCTCTGATTTCTCCCTCCTTAAACAGTTTGTTTTTACTTTATTCTTTCTCCATACTTTAGTGACCTTAAAACTGTTTTCATCTGGAGTTGTCTGAGTTCCCCTTGTTGTCCAGCGAAGGTCACTGAGGTGCTCTGAAGAGACCAGCATGAGAACAACACATTATATAAAGGTTATTCATGCTGAAAATGTTTGGGATGTTCGATTTAATCAGTGCGATTGTAAACTTTATTTCAGTTAGTGGCATTTTTAAAGGGTTTGTTTATTGATGATTCCCTAGGTAACATAATATGAGTGCTAAGCTTTGGCAGGTTCTGTTATTAGGAATGTGGGGCATTGTTCTGTCTTTGGCTGGTGGTGCTCTGCTCAGGTTCGCGCAGTATTTTCTCCAGATGTATTTGGGTCTGAGCCAAAATTTCAGGCCTGATTTGAGCTCAAGGCTTTTGTAAGAGTGCATGAGGTGAGTATTCAGTTAGATTGTTGCTACCAGAATAAGTCACGAAATCTGCAACCTATTCTCGCATTTCACTTGACGTCACACTGAATAGCCGCCGCTGTTTTGAGGACCGAATCGGGGAGTGACTGCGCTGCACGATGCCTTCAATTTGCTGTGCTTTGTGAATGATTCACCTGCAAGACACGACAGAGGCGGAGAGACGAGAGACACACAGACCTTTAAATCAGTGTTTTCACTCCAGGCTTGGAGCCGCTGCACTGTATAGTTTAGTGTTTCTCTGCTGTTCACCTCGTTCAGCTCAAGAAGGGATTAATTAGCTAATAATATCAGGTATTTTAACCAGGGAGACCACAGGTATGCAGTGCAGGGGTTTCAGGACTGGAGCTGAACTCTGAACTAACTGCACTAGCAAACTTACAGAATCACGTCTGTCGAAACACGACGTCGTTTTCCGACCCACGACATTCAGTCTGATATTTAACGATTATGTTTCTCCATTCAAACGTCATTTAAATCTCCAGAAACAGAGAGTAAAGTTATCCCGGCTGTCTGCAGCTCCGTTAGGGGGACGACTGTTTATCTCTCTCTGTTAACATCAGCTAAAGTTCTCTAAAGGCTGGCATTGTTCACATCTGTGTTAATTAGCTGATGTCGTTACCCTCCTATGATCACAGAGGGTTTCTCCTCTTTTTGAACACCATGGGATCCTTTACCCACCCTGACGTGAAGAGCCGGTGGGCTTCTGTACTTTTAAATGCTTTGAGAGACCCTCCAGAATAGGGAGAGGAGCTGAGTATGAGATCAATATAAACATCAGGAAAACACAAATTTAGTAGCTTTCTGCCAGTTTAAGTGGATCCAGGAGTTCAGGGCGAAACTATATAAGGATCTCAGCCTATTGTACCGACTTTGTCGACGTAACATTTTTCCTCTTCCAAAGTAAGGAGAGTAATTTTAGCCATATTCCACCTTTAGTCACGTTCATGTGGACCAGCGAAACCAGAAGTTCGGCCCCAAATATGCCGGCCATAACAGTAAAACTACTTGACTGTAACCCTAGAATAGAATTTATACACAGTTTTATACAGTCCATTCATTTAAGTGTGTATAATTACACAGTAAAAGCCCACCTAACCCCACTTTGCTCTGATGCCCTGATATGTATAGTTTTTGGAAGTGGTTGTCACAAAAGACGGCCAACAGGAGACCCTCAGAAGATGCTGAGGCACATATTGGTGATACAGTTTCTCCATATGCTGTTCTGAAGATGAGTTTTTTGATGTATCGATACTTTACAGGATCATTACACCCTCTTGCACAGCTGATGCACACGGCAGCCCACATTCTCCATGTGTGCCTGGGTTTCCACAGGGCCGTGCAGCAGGGCCACAGCTGTGGTCAGGGCTGTACTGGGGGTGTGGCTTTGATTCGGTGCGTAGTGGGCTGAGAGCTCCAGTGTCATTTGGAGGAGATGCGTGTTAATGCTGGTTGAAGTAGGAGAGGTTAGTCGGCCCTGAGCGTCGTCAGACAGCGTGAGACTGATTTCACTTTAAGAAAGAGGCTCCATGTGTTGCATCATGTATTACCTGTGTTTTGAGGAGCTGCCAAGCCAGAGAAAGCAATAGACAAACGGAGAAAAAGAGAGTGGAAAAGAAAGATGAAGCATGTGGAGAAAAAGAAAAGGGGAAGGAAAAAGGTCTGCTCTCACATTTGATGGCGTTTGTTCATCAGATGGGGATCTAATGAAAAGCATATGGCAGTCCAGATGGGCTGTCCTCACTTCGACTAAAAGGCCTTCTGACACTGAGATGTGTGAAGTGTGTTTGTTTCGTGTGCATTTTTAATAGAGGGGAACGAAATGAACTCACGCTATTTTCCACTATTCAGATGGTAGTGATGCACTTTTTGGAGCCACTGCTCAAATGACATATTTTGGGAAGAACACACTTCTGCACAGTTTAATATGAAATTAATGTTTCTTTGCTGAATTTAACATATTTAACATATTGGGAGGAAAAAAATTTAACCAAAAATGTGGCATTTGCAATCGTTATTGCACTGTTTGTTTGTTTGTTTGTTTGTTTTCCACTCTATTAAGCAAACAGAAATCATGCACAAAAAAATAAGAAAAAATGCCATGTTTAAGTTTATCTGTAGAGGAAGTGTTTACATATTTTCGCTCAGAAATTCATCAAAATTTGACTATTTTTACCACTTTTGCACACAATTGTATATTGTCGCAATAACGTTATTATTACAACAGTATTAAAATTAATAATAATAATAATGATAAACTTTTTAAAGTTAATAAATGATACTTTTTGCAATGGCAAAATGCACCACATGGGCAAATCCAAATCAACAGTTGAAAAACATGGTGATATTTTATCAGTATGGTGAGAATTAGTACACCT